TTTAAAGGCTAATTTAATTTAGTTTTAGATGGAGTCGAGAGGGATTAGAACACCTGTCAGTTTTATTACTGTCTGTGCCCCCATTTTTCCTGTTTACTGTTAGTATATATTACAAAAGTCCAAAATTTTGGGTTGACATCAGAACAGTAATAGAGGAATTCTTCTAATGAGGACACTAGGTCTGGGGACCCTGGTGACACCCTGGGATTTCCTCACTTTGGAGGGATTTCCTTTCACTTCCTTTTTTGGCTGTGGGACAAGAAGGGAAGGGAATTCTTCCCTATGGGACACAGATGGCAAAAAAGCAGGGCTTACAGCCCTTTATTTCTCTATCCAAATTGAAAGAAATTGTTTTGCCTTTTAATTACACTTTAAATGAGCAGAGATCCATGTATGAATAAACTTCAAGGCTCTGTGTAAAAATAGCGTCACGCTTAAATACATTTATAAAAGCGTATAAACTCAAAGTTCTCCATTGTGCAAAATTGGAGATTAGTGAAAAGTGAACTTAAAACATAAGTGCTTGTGAAAAATATCCATAAATCCAAATCAGACAAATTATTCCACACCACAATTCTCCACTTTAAGAGTGCCTGTGAATGATGAATGAATGTGAAAAAACACCACCTCCACTCTTGTGGCTCTACACTTGCCTTAATAGATAGACCTTTAAATCACAAAAGATCAAGCATTTATAGTCCCCTTTAAAGCTGGCATAGGCTCTTCCTCAAATATATCCAAGAGGATCACTATGAGCAACTGAGATTCAAATTGCCTCCAGAACAGAGTTCACTTCAGAGTATAGGTACTCCACTGTTTTCTCTACTCGCTTCTGTACTGCATCCAGGCAGCTGTGGAACGTGCGGCATTCAGTACACCAGGCTTCTCTGTCTGTATGTAACGGGCTTGCAAGCTCAGCATCACCACCTTACACAGCAGACTTCTCTATGTAGCCTCTTCCTTCTTTGTTTTGAATTGGACTACTGAGGCAGACGGCTTGAATTTCTCAAAGGACTACAAGTACAGTAATCAGCACACTCATAGTTCATTAACGCTACCTGCAGCTTTCTAACTGAAAGCTTGTATAGATATACAGGCAAAAAGATGTAGGAAGAGTATGCAGAAGCCTGTCATTTTTGCTTAAATGTGAACTTGGCCTTTAAATGCTCGAATACTGCCAAAAAATATATGTATTAAAAGTTTTTAAAACAGTGAAACATTTTCTAATTAATATATGTGTGTAGTTAATGTAAAGTGTAGGTAAACCCAAAACAATGAACTTCTCCTATTTGCTACCTTTTGGAATGTTAAACATTACATTGAGGTGTTTCATTATATTTGTTCAGTACATGCAAAAAAAAAAACCTAACACAAATGTAAAGTCACTCAACTTCTAAAAGCCCAAGATGAATTTTATTGTCATTATCCAGTACAAGAGCAATCCACCTGCACCTCGAACAAATTTAGCTCAAAATAATGCTTGAGGTGATTGTAGCCGTATTAGTGCATTTGCGACAGAAACAATTGAGTACTGTCCGTGATACTTTTTTTATTTGCACTAACATACAATTTTGAGGACAAGCTTTCGGGGTATGTCCCCTTCTTCAAGGTCTAAGCAGTACTATTAAAAATCACAAAGTTTAAGCAGAATGTTAGAATGGATTGAGAGAAAAAAAAAAAAAAAAAAAGGGCTACAGATAAGATACATCAAAAGTGAGGGGGGGAGGGGGGATACAACACTCACACAGAGGGGGTCAAGTTTTAGCTAATAGATAGTCATAAAGCTGTCGGATAGTGGTTGAGGAATCCCATGTCCAAATTAAGACCGTTATCTTTAGTGTCAAATAGAATTATCATTCTTAGTTCAAATGTTTTTCTTTCCTGGATGGATTTAAATTTTTCCTTTCAGAACTAAAATATTGAGGTCTTCCATATTGTGGCCTGGTTGTGAGAAATGGTGTCCTACAGGTGTGCAGAGGTCATCTTCTTTATGTTCCTTGATGGTATGTCTGTGTAAATTCATCCGTGTTTGCAACCTCTGTCCTGTTTCACCAACATAAGATCCTTTGCTGCATTTTCTGCACTGGATAAGGTATACAACATTACTGGAGGTGCAGCTGTATGATCCGGAGATATTGAAGATCCCTTTTGAGTGTCTGACACTTTTTGATGGATTGATTTGGTTGCACAGCTTGCAGCGTTTCTTATTGCAGGTTTGCTTCCATTATTTGTGGCATCATAATCAGAAGGAAGTTTCCTACTGATTAGTTTATTTCTGAGGTTGGGGGGTTGTCTGAAAGCCAGTATTGGGGGTTGCTGGAATATTTCTTTCAGAGTTCCATCCTCTGTTATGATGGGTTGTAAATCTTTGATTATTTTTCTTATCCCTTCTAGTGCCGGGTTGTATGTAGTTACTAGAGGTACACGGTTGTTTGTTTTTTTCTCTTTGTACTGAAGCAGATTTTCCCTTCGGGTTCTCAAGGCTGTGTTTATGCTGGTGTTGATAGTTTTGTCCTTGTAACGCGTGGTGGGGTGTAACCTTTCTTATGGAAGGCGTCTGCTAGTGTCCCAAGATGTTTATCTCTGTCTCTTGGGTCAGAACATACTCGGTGGTATCTGATGGCCTGACTGTGTATGATGGCACGTTTCGTGTGTTGGGGGGTGGAAGCTAGAACTGTGGAGGTAGTTGCATCTGTCAGTGGGTTTCCTGTATATTGAGGTGTGAAGCGTATCATCCCTGATGTATACTGTGGTGTCTAGGAAGTTGACCTGTGTGTTTGAGTATTCCATTTTTAGTTTGATTGATGGATGAAAAGTGTTCATCAATGAGTAAAATTGTTTTAGATTTTCTTCACCTTCCGTCCATATGACTAAGAATGATAATTTCTATTTGACACTAAAGATAACGGTCTTAATTTGGACATGGGATTCCTCAACCACTATCCGACAGCTTTATGACTATCTATTAGCTAAAACTTGACCCCCTCTGTGTGAGTGTTGTATCCCCCCTCCCCCCCTCACTTTTGATGTATCTTATCTGTAGCCCTTTTTTTTTTTTTTTTTTTTTTTTTTTTTTTTTCTCTCAATCCATTCTAACATTCTGCTTAAACTTTGTGATTTTTAATAGTACTGCTTAGACCTTGAAGAAGGGGACATACCCCGAAAGCTTGTCCTCAAAATTGTATGTTAGTGCAAATAAAAAAAGTATCACGGACAGTACTCAATTGTTTCTGGCTCAAAATAATGAAAATGGTGTTGCTCAAATGTCCTTAAACCTGTGTCAGTCAGATCAGCATGTGAATACACTGGTGCAAGACTGGATGGCTTGTCAAGCTCTAGTAGGCTTCAACAAAATAGCAGCGGTCTGCACACAAACACTGACTTCGTGTTACATAAATGTAAAGAAATAAGTAAAAGATGGATTCAGCTCCTGTTCTCCCATATGGAAGAAAAATATATTTGAAATATATTCTTGCATATATTGCCATATATTTGAAATACTACAATTTTGGCCATATTCAATATATTTCAAAATATATTTCAATGAAAAAAAAAGTTTTTGTTGTGGGGTGTATTCATTTTTGCATCCACTAATTTGAGTAAAACTGAAGATTTTGTAATTTAAGTTATATTATTAACCTTACTTTCATGTAATGAGCTAAACAAATGTTCTATAAAACTCAGTTTTATCAAAGTTTTGGAAATTGCTCTTGTGTTCATTGAGATATTGATTAAATCTTACTTTTCAAAACGGAGTGTACTCATTTATGCTGAGCACTATATATATAATTAGAGTTTGGTCCTTTAAATATATAGAGTTGCTCAAAGGGCCTTGATTGAGTCAGCTGATCAGAAATTCTCTTGATGATTAATTACCGAATTATGTATACTGTAGTTTACCCCTTTTGGGTCCCTGTTTAATTTGTTAGGGAATTCGATGTGACACAGGTTTTACTAAAGCCTTCACCTATGATGGGTTTATTAATTCCAGTATTTCTTTCTTGTAAAATAGTACAGGCAGTGAAACAATGAAGTCATGTAAATTACATTGGCTAAGGTAACATGAAAGCAATCAAGAAAACACAAATAAAAGGCTGATAAATTGTGTATATTGGAAAATAATTGTACATGTAGTATTGTCACTGAGAGCCCACATAGAATAACATAGAGGAGAGTTCAGGGGCTTCAGAAAAAAACTTCTGCTAAACTTCAATTTAGCAGCTGAAGTGTACATGAGGCCTGATATTGGAGGGTAGGGAGAACACAGAGTTCCAGTAGGAGTGAAGAGATCTGCAATGTCATGATATCCCATTTCTCCAGATTATTGCCAACATTGTCAATATGGGGGTTTTATCTACAAAAAGGAAGCTTCCCTGGTGTTAAGTCCACCAAGAGTGAAGTTTATCAAGGATGGATATAATAAAGGGGGATATTTGGTAATCTCATACCGCCATTTGTTATATGTTGGTTATATGGTCGTCAGGTTTGTGGCAATGAGTAGTATAATAAAACTCCGGAAAAGGAAGAGTATTTTAAGGAGCAGTGCCATTTGTAAGGCTGCAATTCTGCCATTCATGGGATAGCAATTGTGTTTGTTAATGGACTAAAGAGGATAAGAATGGTTTGTAACTAAGGTCATATAAGAGAGAGGTGGAGGCCGATGCATGTATTCCTATAAAGTTGATAGCATTTGCCACTGAGATATAGGGGAATTTACCCTGAAGGAGTGACTTAAGGGCTGGAGGTGTATGGAGGCTTAGATTAATGATGGTTTTATTTTTTTTTTAAATGGCATACTTCATATCAGAGCCTCATTTGAACCTGCAGCTCTGTGTCTATGCTAGTCCACTACATAGACTTCTATTGGCTGCCCATACATTAGCTCAAGATATAATTAATATTTCACAGTCCACTGAAATTGTCCCCTGCCAGCATATGAATACAGTTGATTGAAGAGGTATGTCTTTTGTATAATAAATGCCAGATGTTTAACTTTATAGGAATTGGACTTATGGAAATTGTAATGGAACCTGACATGACGTGTGGAGAGGAAGCCGCAGCTGCTGTCAGGGAACTTCAACTCATTCTGCAGACTCTTGGAACAAGTCTTGCAAACATGTCAGGTAAAGGTTTCCTACACGTAATATTATGAAACTAATTGTTGAAACTCTGCAATAAGGATCTTTATTTTTTTACAATAAGGATCCTTATCCAGGAGTTTTAGCTTTGTGAATTAAGGCTTATGTATTTAAATGCATGTTAATTTAATAATAGCAATAAAACATACAGTGCTGTGAAAAAGTATTTGATGGAACCATGAATTCTGTGCTCTACCAAAAAATTCTAAAGGAGAATGTCCAGCCATCAGTTTGTGACCTCAAGCTCAAGTGCACTTGGGTTATGCAGCAGGTTAATGATCCAAAACATTCCAGCAAGTCCACCTCTGAATGGCTAAAAAAAAACAAAACAAAATTAAGGTTTTGAAGTGGTCTAGTCAAAGTTTGGACTTAAATCCGATTGAGATGCTGTGGCATGACCTTAAACAGGCCATCGATGCTCAAAAACCCTTCACTGTGGTTGAATCAAAACAATTCTGCAAAGAAGAGTGGGACAAAATTCCTCCACAGCAATGTGAAAGACTCCTTGCCAGTTATTGCAAATGCTTGATTGCAGTTTTTGCTGCCAAGGGTGGCACAATCAGGTTTTAGGTTTAGCTGGCAATAACTTTTTCACATAGGGCCAGGCAGGTTTGGACTGTTTTTTTTTTTTTTTCTTAATAAATGAAATCATCATTTAAAAACTGCATTTTGTATTTACTTGGGTTATTTTTGTGTAAAATTAAAATGTGTTTGATGATCGAATCATTTAAGTTTGAAAAATATGCAAAAAAAAAATTAGGAAAGGGGAAGATACTTTTTCTCAGCACTGTAAATTCAAAAAGATTTGCAGCCAGGTACATTCCTTTTAGGCAATATGGGAAAATCTGTGCTCAAGTTCAAAGAAAATTTAAATCAAAAACTGCCACTATATCCTGATAAAGATATATGTATCACTGTTCAAACTATGGAGCATACTGCTCTAAACTGGTGTCAATTCAAAAAATAAAGCCTAGTTCAAATCAATCAATCAATCAGTCAAAATAACGATACTAAATAAAAAAAATACACAAACATGAACACAAATAGTTAAATACATGTGCAGCAATCACATAGAAATTGCAATTATAGTGCAAACAAGTGAGCTCATACATAGACTTTATAATGAGTGCCTATACACAGAGCAACTTAGATTTATAATTTAAATTCTCCACCCGGTTCAGTTAATTGATTTTGTATGTAGAAATACAAAACAAAGGAGGCACTCTTCATAGTGTAAACCCATATTTAAAATGTTCATTTAAAAAAAACAAATGCAAATACAATTTAAAAACATCTACGGTGCTTGTACACAATCACAAAGCCAGCCTAATACAGTCTGCCAGAATCCAAAATGGCCACCACCCAGTCAGCGTGCATGCGTAGTGACGTGTATCTTGGCTCCATCCTACATGTTTCATCATACATGACATCATCAGGGGGCTCTAGTGAGTGCTCTCATAGTTCAATCACACTTCCTGCAATTCAGTAATTGTTTTCCCATAAGGGAGGTACTGGCAGACAGCTGTACTGAGAGTCTGCAGGAGCCTGGCAATGCTTTACAGCAGTGGTTCTCAACCTGCCTAATGCCGTGACCCTTTAATACAGTTCCTCATGTTGTGGTGACCCCCAACACATTTTTTTTTACCAGTAATTAAATTCATGAGTGTCGTTTTAATCCAATATTTTTTAGCTGCTTTCACCACAGTAGCTGCTTTTTACACAGCAGGTGCTTTCTACACAGTAGCTGGTCCTTTCGGAAATATGTGTTTTTGATGGTCTTAGGGGACCCCTGTGAAGGGTCGTTCGACCCCCAAAGGGGTCACGACCCATAGGTTGAGAACCATGCTTTACAGTGTGTGCATGAAAATAATCACTTTTTTTTAAGCAAAATTTTTTTTTATTTTATTTTATTTTTTTACAAAAGGTGACCTGGTCCTTTAACACTTTAGCCCCAAGCCATTTCAGTGTGCACAGTCAAATCCCTTGTTGATGTCACAAGGAATGTAAAAAGTGACGGCAATAGACATGTTAAAAGTATGGAAGAATCTGGTCCCTATAAGACCCCAAATCCCTCCTCTGCACTTAAAAGCATTCACAACACCAAGATCTGTGTTTTTTAATGCTTTCAGATTTTTAAAAATGGTGCAGAAAGTTTCAGAGTAAAGTGGAAGTGATGTCAGGTAATCGCTTCCAGTTTGGTATAAGGGAGAGCCAATTAAAGCTGATTCTAGCTATGTTCAGCTCCCTGGCCAGCCGGCGTCCCACTGGGACTCGAGATCCTGAGAGAGCCAAGGGAGGGGGGTGTCCCCTCCTGTTGCTTGTACAAGTATTGGAGTGGCTAGTTAGCCACTCCAGTTGCTTGTACAAGAGAGCTGACTGCCATCTAAAAAACGGTACATGGGTGAAATTGATTTGTTTTTGACCGAAGTGGAGTGGGATGGAAAATTTTTCTCTAATTTCTAATAGTGTATGCGGTTTTCGTTCTGTAAGATCCATTCATTCCAAAATCAGATATTAAAAGTAAGAGAAATCTTTCAAACAACATTTGAATGTTGTGAGAATTTTCTAACAAATTTTCCTAAGAATATTTGTTTGAAATTCTATCCATCTATGGTCTTACATAGCACCTATGGCATAACATAGCACCTGTGGCTTTACCCTCTCCCCAAGTTGATAATGCTGCTATCAAAAGGTGCCTTCTTCCCCCCTCCATCCAGAACGGATAACAACGAAGAAACATAGGAAGTTTGTCAGTGGCCCAATCAATATATTGCAGCTCACTAGTTCTTAGATGTTTTGGTTTTATGAGTTTTCTTTTTCTGCAAATACTGAAAAATACCCAATGATCCTGCTGGAAATCTGGAGTGTTTGTAACTTTCTGTGCACTGAACTGAAATCTCAAGCGATATTATCAGTTCTGCCCAGTTTTCCCCTGGGACCGGCAGATGACGTACGTTATGGAGATGAGGAGGGGAGAGGTGTTTGTAGTCCAAATTAGGAAGGCAACCTAGGGTGACAATGTTACTCTTGTAATATTTTACAGTAGATGTAGTATAGTGAGTGAACGTGGTCACTCTAGGACAAGGTGTGGGTTACTGGTAGGATGACCAGCTGAAAATAAAGAGAAAGGAAGCCTAGAAAAAAAAGAACTAATGCAGCCACCACATCTAAAATGAGTGGTGAGCTGCAATATATGGAACATTTTTTTTCTTGGTTTTAGTGACACTTTAAATTTGCTGCTGTTACCAAGTCTAATTATCCTAATTAAATTTACAAATGGCAACTAGAGAGTTAGCAACTGTGATGCAATGAACTCTTTGAGGAAGGGAAAAGTCTTTTATAAAAATGTAAATGTTAGGCTAGCGGGACCAATTTTTTGTTTTTGTTTTGATATCGTGTGGAAGGACTGCTTTAGGGTTTTTACTGCTATCCCGGGCCTTTGCTAGGATTATTTGTTCTCACTTACTGTCCAGGTAACAATGGTTTTACCAAATTTGAAGCATTGTTTTTTTTATACTAGCAGCGGGGAAGGCTAGATCCTCAGTAAGCTTTTTATTCATGTCTATGTTTCTGTTGAAGATTATTTGCTCACATCCTCTTTGGTGAAACCTTGTCACCATAAAGGCAAATGAAGGAAAATCTATCTAATGTAGCTCTGGATAACAGTAAAAACCTGACAGGAGTTATAATCTTCCTACTCAAAACTAAAAAAAAAACAGTTTTGTGTGGACATACAGTGCCTTGAAAAAGTATTCATACCCCTTGAAATTTTCCACATTTTGTCATATTACAGCCAAAAACGTTCATTAATTTTATTTGGATTTTATGTGATCAACCAACACAAAGTAGAAGGAAAATGATAAATGGTTTTCAAGATTTGTATCAAATAAATATGTGAAAAGTGAGGCAATACTTTGTAGAACCACCTTTCACTGCAATTACAGCTGGAAATATTTTTGGGAATGTGTCTACCAGCTTTGCACATCTAGAGAGTGAAATATTTGCCCATTGTTTTTTTTAAAATAGCTCAAGCTCTGTCAGATTGGATGGAGAGCATCTATGAGCAGCAATTTTCAAGTCTTGCCACAGATTCTCAATTAGATTTAGGTCTGGCCTTTGACTGGGCCATTCTAACACATGAATATGCTTTGATCTAAACCATTCCATTGTAGCTCTGACTGTATGTTTAGGGTTGTTGTCCTGCTGGAAGGCGAACCTCTGCCCCAGTCTCAAGTCTTTTGCAGACTCGAACAGGTTTTCTTCTAAGATTGCCCTGTATTTGGCTCCATCCATCTTCCCATCAACTCTGACCAGCTTCCCTGTCCCTGCTGAAGAAAAGCATCCTCACAACAAGATACTGCTACCACCATGTTTAAAAGTGTGGATGGTGTGTTCAGGGTGATGTGCAGTGTTAGTTTTTCCACCACACATAGCATTTTGCTTTTAAGCCAAAAAGTTCAATTTTGTTTTCATCTGACCAGAGCACCTTCTTCCACATATTTGCTGTGTCCCCCACATGGCTTCTCACAAACTGCAAACTGGGCTTTCTTTCAACAATGGCTTTCTTCTTGCCACTCTTCCATAAAGGCCAGATTTGTGGAGTGCACAACTAATAGTTGTCCTGTGGACAGATTCTCCCACCTGAGCTGTGGATCTCTGCAACTCCTCCAGAGTTACTATGGGCCTCTTGGCTTCTTCTCTGAGTAATGCTTTCTTTACCTGGCCTGTCAGTTTAGGTGGATGGCCATGTCTTGGTAGGTTTGCAGTTGTGCCATACTCTTTCCATTTTCTGATGATGGATTGGACAGTGCTCCTCAAGATGTTCAAAGCTTGGGATTTTTTTTTTATAATCTAACCCTGCTTTAAACTTCTCCACAACTTTAACCCTGACCAGTCTGGTGTGTTCCTTGGCCTTCATAATGCTGTTTTCTCACTAATGTTCTCTAAGAAACCTCTAAAGGCTTCATAGTACAGCTGTGTTTATA